CTTTTTGTAAAGTAGACACCCCAAGAACATTTGCTGAGAAGCATGTTGAGTCCATGGAAGATTTTATTTTTTGCTGAAAAGTTTTGGAAAATGACAAAAAAAGAAAGTTATCACTTAAATGATATATTGCTCATGCTTGCCATGAGTATATATGGAATAAGACCCCCAAAACACATTCTGCTACTTCTGTTAAGTATGGGGATACCACATGTCAGAGACCTTTTGGCACATACAGGCCCCCAGAATCCAATGGCCACCTTCAGGCTTTCAAAGGGCATATTTCCTCATGTCACTTCCTCACTACCTATCACAGTTTCAGAGGCCCTAAAATGCCAGGATAGTACAAACAACCTCTCCCCCCCGTCCAAATGACCCCTTTTTGGAAAGTAGACACCCCAAGGAATTTGATAAGAGGCATGGTGAGTATTTTTCATATATAATAAGAAAAAATACATTTTTGTTTTCGTTCTTCATTTTTCAAAAACGTGTGGCAACAAATGAGATCTGCAAAATACTTACCATACCTTGGAATGTATACTTTTCAAAAAGGGGTCATGGGGGGGGTGCTTCTACTATCCTGGATTTTTAGGACCAATATTAGGAGTTTATGCCACACATCACCCTCTTTTCTAACCACTTAAGGACCAAATATTTTCTGAAAACTTTTTGCTTATATGAAATACCATTTTTTTTGCTAGAAAATTACCTTTGCATGCACAGCGAAAAATATAAAATGGGGGTGTCTCTAGACCAGTGGTTCTTAACCTGGGTTCGATCGAACCCCAGGGGTTCGGTGAGTCAGTCTCGGGGGTTCGGCGGAGGTGACCCACACCCGACTCATATGATTTGTGATGACATGCCCAGTGGTCGGCAAGCCGCGGCTCTTGTGTGCCGGGCGCCCGCTCCCCTCCCTCCTCTTGGGCGGCAGGGACTCAAATGCAATGATTGGCCAGTCTCGCTGCCACTCACATCCTGATAGCCAGTGATTGGCTGTCAGGATGTGTGTAGGCGGGGCAGCGTGACGAACGTGAGATGAGCTAGGCTCCTCTCACAGTCCGCCCTGAAGACCGGAACGGCGCGGGAATACAGCGAGAGGAACGCGCGGAGCAAAGGTAAGTGAATTGACACAGGGGGGACTTGGGGACTTAATATGGGGGATGAATTAATATGGGGAATGAATTACTATAGGGGGGATGAATTACTATATGGGGGATGAATTATTTTATGGGGGATGAATTACTATATGGGGGATGTATGTATTACTATATGGGGGATGTATTACTATATGGGGGATGAATTACTATATGGGGGATGTATTACTATATGGGGGATGTATTACTATGGGGGATGAATTACTATATGGGGGATGAATTATTATATGGGGGATGAATTACTATATGGGGGATGTATTACTATATGGGGGATGTATTACTATATGGGGGATGAATTACTATATGGGGGATGTATTACTATGGGGGATGAATTACTATATGGGGGATGAATTACTATGGGGGATGAATTACTATATGGGGGATGAATTACTATATGGGGAAGGAATTACTATAGGGGGGATGAATTACTATATGGGGGATGAATTACTATATGGGGGGATGAATTACTATGGGGGATGAATTACTATATGGGGGATGAATTACTATATGGGGGATGAATTACTATATGAGGGATGAATTACTATGGGGGATGAATTACTATATGGGGGATGAATTACTATGGGGGATGAATTACTATATGGGGGATGAATTACTATATGGGGGATGAATTACTATGGGGGATGAATTTTCATACCGTTTGTTACAACATATCTTTGCGAGCAATCCTTTTCGAGGATGCTGGACATAAAGACGAAGAAAAGGAACAGACTTTGTTGCAAAAATGACATGAGAGTGGCACTTGCCAAGGTAATGCCGCGCATTTCTGAACTGGCCTCTGAAAGACAACAGCAGAAGTCACACTGATTTGCGGTAAATATTCATTATTTTGTTTTTGTGTGAAAATCATGTTTTAATGGTTTTGTTCTTTGTTCTTAATGGTTTTGTTCATTTTGTGCACCTATGTATAAATATATACCTATGTTTTGAATTTTAAAAATCATATTTTATTTTTCCAATTAAGAAGGGTTCGGTGAATGCGCATATGAAACTGGTGGGGTTCAGTACCTCCAAAAAGGTTAAGAACCACTGCTCTAGACTATCCATAATTTTAAAAAGGCAACCCAGTCTAAAATGTGAAAAACTATTCTAATAGTTTTATATAACGCAGCAACATCCACACATGTAGGACACCCAACATTAGAGGTGATTTATTCTTCCAAAGCATATACACTTTTGCACACTGGTACTGACTAGTATTCCAATGTTTCTTTTCTCCATCACTGAGCTAATGTGACCCCAGCACTGATGGAGAGGGGTGGGGGAGGATCAAACAAGGATGCTGTGCAAGCAACCGACATCCTCCTTATCAACTCATGATGTCATTGGTTGTCAGGACGCCGGCGGCTAGAAGGATATAGTGGTGCACAATGAAAACCTGTGGCTTTGTGTAACTAAAAAGCAGGCTTGCTCCACCCGCTGGCTTGTATACAAGTTTTGGCCAATTTTTAGAGATTTTGTCAAGGCACCCCTGAAGAAACTTCAAGGCACCCCAATGTGCCTGGGCCCACTAATTGAGAAAGACTGCCATATACTATGATCATAGTTGATTGGTGCACAGTTTTTGAATGTCAAATATGTAATACTAGGCCCTTCCTTCAACATGTTGCAATTACAAAGTAGGGTTGAAATGGATTGGGTTATGTAATAGGTAGACAAACAATGGATTTAATACATCAATGGCAGGTCAATATGAAAATGACATCTCAGTTTTCAAATACGGAGAAAAGAGTTTTCGAGGATTCATTTAGGTAACCCAGATGTGTGTAATGACATTTGCAGTACATCTAAGATATTGTGCCTCTTGACAGCAGCTGCTTTCAGTCATTTCATCATTTTGGCAGTTTCTACATTTCACACCAGCCAGAGCTGTTTGAAGTGTATTAGAACCCGCAGAGAGTCCATGGTGAGGAAGGATCATGCATAGGTACTGGCCAGGAGGATCAAACATCAGCTTGACACCCCCAGCAGCGGCAATAAAAACAAACACATTGCACAGGTGGAACACTGTCATAATCCGCTGAAGACTCAATATGCTCTTGCTTAAACAGAAACCCTAGGGACCAAGTAAGGCGAGGTACTGATAATAACATCCAAAAACCCAGCAACTGTACAAAAGACAGAAAATCAACTCAGTTTGCCCAAATATGAGTTTTATAAAATACTTCCATAATTTATTGCAACTAAACTGATCAAGGCCCAGGGAGAGTCCCCAGGTGGGACTGTAAACTCTTCCTAGTCATTTTGTGCAGTCTAACACCCCAACCACAAGTCAGGGTACACAATTCTTCAGTGTGTGGGATGAACAGGATCAATAATCTTTCTTGCAGTGATCAACAGCTATTTTTTTTTGGTGCGTGTACTTGCTTAGGTATAATTTTTAGGATCTTAGATAGGTGGAGTTTGGAACATTAGACCTGGCCAGTATATGCACATGATCAGGACTAGGGAAGAAAAATATTTTTGCAGCAGAAGGACCTCTTAAGGAAATACAGAGAATGGGTGATGAAAAAAAATAAAAAAAAAAAAGTAATAGGAAGAAAACTGTGTATATACAGTAAGAACTGTGAAAATGTGGAATAGACTCCCTCAAGAGCTGATTCTGGCCAGCTCACTGGATTCTTTGTTGGATACACAGAATATAGCTGGTTACTAACATTTATAGGTAAAGTTGATCCAGGCAATATCCAATTGCCTCTCGGGGGATCAGGAAGGAATTTTTTCCCCTGCAGGAGCAAATTGGATCATGCTTTGCTGGGGGTTTTTTTTTGCCTTCCTCTAGATCAGTGTTTCTCAACTCCAGTCCTCATGGACCCCCAACAGGTCATGTTTTCAGGATTTCCATTATTTTGCACAGGTGATTTGATCAGTTTCACTGCCTTAGTAATTACCACAGCTGTTTCATGTGAGGGAAATCCTGAAAACATGATCTGTTGGGGGTCCATGAGGACTGGAGTTGAGAAACACTGCTCTAGATCAACTGTGGGTGCAGGATTATAGCTTTTTTTTTAACCACTTGCCTACCAGACATTTATACCCCCTTCATGCCCAGGCCAGTTTTCAGCTTTTGGTGCTGTCACACTTTGAATGACAATTGCGCGGTCATGCAACACTGTACCCATAAGGAATTTGTATCATTTTTTTCACACAAATCGAGCTTTCTTTTGGTGGTATTTAATCGCCACTGGGTGTTTTTTTTGTGCTATAAACAAAAAAAGCAGAAAATTTGAAAAAAAAGTTTTTCTTTGTTTCTATTATACAATTTAGCAAACAGGGTATTTTTGTCCTTCACTGATGTGCATTGATGAGGATGCACTGATAGGTAGCACTGATGGGCACTGATAGACAGCACTAATGGGCACTGATATGCAATAATGATGGGCACTGATAGGCAGCACTGATGGGCACTCATAGGAGGCACTGATGGGTGGCACTGACTGGTGGCACTGATGGGTGGCACTGATGGGCACTGGTGGGTGGCACTGTTTGGCACAGGTGGGTGGCACTACTAGGCACTGATGGGCACAGGTGGGTAGCACTGCTGAGCACAGGTGGGAGGCACTGCTGGGCACTTGTGGGCAGCACTGCTGGGTACAGGTGGGCGGCACTTGTGGGTGGCACTGCTGGGCACTGATCATCAGTGCCCTGATGATCGGTGCTGAACTTCCCTCTGACAGCATGAGGAAAGTGCAGACTTTAACAGGCAACTGCATTTACCGGAGATCTGCTGTGTCATTGAACACAGCTTATCACATGGTAAAAGCTTGCTGTGATTGTCCTTTTACTACATCATGTGATCAGCTGTGTCCATAGGACATTGCTGGGTGCGAGCCCCCGGGGGCGTGCGGGGGGGGCACGTTCTGGGAGGACGTCATATGACGCCCTCCCAGGACTGGACAACCACGCTGTAGCCATCATTCAACTTTAGCGCAGTTGGCAAGTGGTTAAATGGTTGAACTAGATGGACTTTTGTCTTTTTTCAGCCAGACTAACTATGTAACTATATATAACCATAAAATTCCAATTGTATTATAATACATTAAAAAGGACATAGCAAAGACCACATTCACGTGTTGTGCCAGAATAAGGTTCACATGTGCAATATATTTGATCTGTGTGTTTGCATGACTGGTCCACATAAGAAGCCTGACGTGTTTTGAAAACACTCTTCTTCAGGAGTGCACAGGAACATGTCTAAAAATATACAGCATATTGTTAAAAACAACCATACTGTATATAATCAACAGTACAATACAAATTGTATACATACATGATGTTAGAGAGAGACAGTGACTGATGAGCTTCACAGAGATCATAAACACTTTGTTCGGAAGATTGTAATGCAAAGCAGTGAGCATGTGGATGTATACAACACAATGTATGGATTATAGCGGTCACACGTATATGTCAATATACCCCTTATATTGTTGGTTAGCAGGAGGAAATAGTACCTGGTGTCTGTGGTTAATAGGAGAAAAAAATTGGTTGGTGCCCGAGATCAGAGAGAGTAAACAAATGCCAAGCATTGATGGTCAGGAGAACAAAAACCATCTGACATCACTGGTTGTAAAGGAGAAGGGGGGTCACTGGTATTCAGTGGATTACTGTGCATGTTCGGAGCTCTGTACCATTGCCTCCTTTCTGCAGGTGTTCATGTTGACCACTCTGCCTGACAGAGCAGCAGGGGAGCCTACTCCAGGTGCTGGATAGAGCTTTCCATCATCCTTGGCAGCAGCACAATATCCGTGGGACACCTGGGTATTATTAAAATCCCAAGACAGTCATGTAGAACCTGAGACTGTAGGAAGGTATGCTTAAGCAGGTACTGAACTCTTGAAGCTGTGCTTATTAAAAAAAAGACAGGTAGAGGGAAATGGATTAATCACTAATAGTACCTGTGGTCTCCCTGTAGCCAATCTTTTCCCCATTACTCATTTTGCATTATTCTCCATCCTCTTCCATGTCTTTGTGAGGAGGTGGCCATCTTCTAGAACTAGGTCTTTGCTTCTCCATGTCAGAGTCCCCACGCATGGAGAACCATGAGTGGCACAGTAATGGCATCACCACCAAATCTCACACCACATCTCCCAAGACTAGCAGTCAGGTACACAGAGCCCTAGATCTCTCTCTGCAGATATACAGCTATCTGGCACAGGAGTGCTGAAGAGACCCTCACTTACTAGGAAGTGCAAAACATTTTTTAGGAGGATTCCTATACAGATTCCAAATTATGTCACCAGTTGAGAGCACAGTCTTTGAGACTCTCAATAGAGATACAGTAAGTACAAATAAATACTTGCATTTCCATTGGGACAATACATCTCTCATAAGGAGGTAGGAAGTTTCTGGTAGTCCAGGTGAGCACCTGCAGGGATCCCAAGACCGGTTTCACGTGGAAGTAGCAGAAAGTCTCTGTTCCGGATGCACAGGCCACTGGGTGCATGCACAGCACTGCCCCACTTCAGGTTTAGCACTTCAAAAACAGGTGACACGGTGATCTATGTAGTGGCACATTATTATTATTATTTTACAGTATTTATAAAGCGCCAATGGTTCGCTCAGCGCTGTACATTACAAAGGGGGACAGAACATGTGACAGAACAATACCAATACAATGCAAAACATGAGGGGATCGAGGGCCCTGCTCTTTCAAGCTTACAATCTAGGAGGGAGGGGATAGTGGTACAGGAGGAGATAGCTGTGGGGGATGGGGTGGTAGGAAGAGTGGAGGAGGTTGGCAGGTTAGCAGGGGGTGAGGTAGGCTTCCCTGAAGAGATGAGTTTTCAGGGTGCGCCTAAAGGAGAGGAGAGTAGTTGATAATCTGATGGGTTGGGGCAGGGAGTTCCAGAGGATGGTGACACCCTGGAGAAGTCCTGGAGGTGGGCATGGGAGGAGGAGACCAGGGAACTAGAGAGAAGGAGGTCTTGTGAGGAGCGGAGTGTGCGTGCTGGGCAGTACTTGGATATTAGGTCAGTGATGTAGTACGGGGCACATAGAGTGGTTGCAGCTTAGAATGAAGCTGTGAGTTCTTGTGCTCAAACCGGCAGCATGAACACCTGGATTAATGCCCCAGGGGCAGGAGAGAGAGAGAGATAGATTCATACCTCATGGATATGTCCACGAGCCCAGGGGCTTGTGGGAACCCAGAGGATTGTGGGAGACAGAGTTTCAGAGGGTGTAGCCTCTTTATCAAGTGATATGATTGATAGGCTCTAATTCATTTTTATTTGTGGTGCATTTTTATTTATTTTTTATCATAAAATAAAGAGTATTGCACTAGAGCCTGTGTGCTCTTCTCTCTTGTTTGTAAAGGCCAGGCTATGGTTTGGATGGATTAAAAAAACTGACTTTTCTATAAGTGTATCATCAGGGAAATTTCCCTTTACTTCCTTTCACAGAGACACTACAGACTCCCTCAAGAGCTGGTTCTGGCCAGCTCAGTGGATTGCTTCAAAAAAGTCCTGGATTCTTTCCTGGATACACAGAATATAACTGGATACTAACATTTATAGATAAAGTTGATCCAGGGAATCTCCAATTGCCTCTCGGGGGATCAGGAAGGAATTTTTTTCCCAGCAGGAGCAAATTGGATCATGCTTTGATGAGTTTTTTTGCCTTCCTTGAATCAACTGTGGGTATAGGATTATAACTTTTTTTTTTCTATGGTTGAACTGGATGAACTTTTGTCTTTTTTCAGCCAGACTAACTATGTAACTACAGGAAGTACAAAGAAATTGGAATTCTGCTCTCGTACAGTTGTCTCATGAACAAGTGTCCTCATTGATTGGAGATGTCCCATTACTTCTTGTTCTAAGGACAACTCTAAACTTTAGAATTTCCCCTCACTTTTCTTTCATGGTGACAATGCTTACTAGTACAAATAGTGAATCTCCCCAGCAGAGACACAGATAGCAATAAAAACTTGACAGAGGGCCTAATTTTTGCCCATTCTATCCAAAACAAACAGTAAGATATATCTTAAACCATATCTAAGCCCAAGAACAAAAATGTGGTGTATGGCAGCTTTACTAGTCCATAGATGTGGTGGCTGCATTAGTTTTAAAGCTCTTTTTTCTTTATTTCCATCTAAGGCTCCATGTACACTGGGCTTAAATAAACCCCCAGTTCCCTTGGCAGAAAAAAATGCTGATATAGAGTTTCTGTACACAGTTTAGGCGAGTTTAGAGGAGTCATGATGATGCTCCTGATGATGCCATGATGATGAAACACGTTGGGCGGAGCTAACCACATCACTTCCGGATTCCGGTTTTTGGCTGTGGAACGCATTGGCATTCCATTTCCTTGTATTTTAAAGCGCCCATGGATCTTATGTTTGTAAGGTTTTTTTTTGGCATTTTAACTTTTTAATAAAAGGTTTTATACTATGGAAGCTTCCCTCTTTGACATATCTACTCATGGCCGATATGATCGAAAATAGATATATCTAAGATCAGAGGGACACAGCCACACAGAGTCCTTCTACGCAGTGGAGAGCATCATTAAGCACGTTGGACCCACTGGAAACAGGGGTCAAACATTGACATGGGTGGGGGTGGAGGAAAAGGGGGAGCACGTGTGGAGGCACTGTTTTGTTTTCATCACCCTTTACAACATCTGAGCACAAGAAAGCTTTATTGGACTAATTTTGTGGATCACAGTTTTGACCTTCCTGGTCCAAGCACTGCTTTCAATTTGTTTAATTTTATTGGTTTAGGGGGTTGGTGCAGTATAGCATTGTGGATTTAGTTTTGGGGGATAAGAGCTCACTTAATTTGTATTGGAGCACTGTATTGTTTATGTTAAATCTCACATTCTGAGTATACAGATATTGTCACATTAACAGGGGGAGGTGCTTCTTAGTACCTGCAGAGCACATTTGCCATTTTTGGAACACAGTCTTCTCATTTTCTGTCACCATTGATTTATGGTAGAGGGGGGAAGGTGTTTTGTAGCACGGGATAGTCTCTCATATGGGAGATAGGGGCTACATTGCATCCCAACCCCAGGAGCACTTAGTGTATATATATGAATGATTTATGAGCAGGGGAGGTGCATGATAGCACTCATCTGCATTTGAACAATTTTGCACAATTTACACAAGATCCTTAGTACTAGGAGCAGAGCAACATCTTTTCTCTACTTTAGAAAAGTTTAGCATTTTTTTCTGTCAGAAAACGCCAATTAAAAATGTAAACCAGAAGGGTTTTTTACCTGTCTTTAACCACTTCCCGTTCGGACCATGTACATAAACAGCCGGACAGGAGCAGTGCCGAAGTGGGTGGCTGTTTATAAACGGTCCCCCCGCATTCACTGCCTGTGCACACTCCCCGGGAGCACACGGCACCACTATCTGGTGCTCGCTGTTTCCGGAGGACACAGCGGAACACTGATCGCTGTATCGGGTCCCGATTTGTCACTGATTGGCCAATCAGTGATCACATGAATAGTTGTAAGCAAGATGTCATTTCCTGACATCATTGCTTACTACTTGTGATATCTGTGAATGATCACAGAGGTCACATGGTATAAGGCTATTCACAACAGCCTTGTACCATGTGACAAGCTGTGACCAATCACAGCTCTCACAGTTTTTCTCAGTGGCTGTAAGAATGCAGCCAGAGAGAAGGAGAAATGATTGCTTTTACAGCCTTTATGGGTGTAAAAGCAATCAGTGCAAAAAAAGAAAACAAAAACTTCATCACCCCCCACAAGTAGTACAGTGTCACTATGGTGACACTGTACTGCTAGGGTGACGGTATGTTAAAAAAAACATAAACAATAATATAAAAAAAAGTAAAAAAAACTTTTGAAAAAATTTAATTTTTGGTTATAAACTAATTTGTGTTACTTTTTTTTTTACTAAAAAGATCGCAGAATAAATTTCATGGAACCGAAAACTAAGCAGCGATAATTTACCTCTGCTTAGTAAACTGATCTTTTACTGTAATCTCGCATGATTATAGTAAAAGCAGCCGTTTTCCAGCGTTTGTAG